AGGAGGGGAAGGGACGGCGGCAGAGGAAATAGGGAACGGAAGGCGGATGCCATACCTACGCCGTCGTCGACCTGCCAGGGCGCCGCTCTGCTCTCTCGAACCCTTCTGTCTCGTGGTGGAGGGAGAAAGAAAGCCCGAACCGTTTTTGTTTTGCGGGAGCGAGGCAATTCAGGCGAAATCGAAGGTGCAGGCCTCTGTATTAGCGCGATGGATGGGCGCGTGCGAGCGAAAACGCCCACGTATTCGTTTCCGTTTCAGAGTATTGTTTCAGAGTACATCCAAATGTCTGTATTGGGGTTAGACCAATACCAAATCCAATTCGACAGCTCAATACAGACATCCAAATGCAGCGTAACGGAAAAAAACTAATTGCGGGATGAAACCAAGAATATAGTATTGCTTTAATAGTATGTAATAGAAAAAAACTAATCGCAAGACGAAACTAAAAATATCACCTTGCTTTAATAGTAAGTATAGATATAGATATAGATATAGAATATAGATATAGATATAGATATAGAATATAGATATAGATATAGATATAAATATAGATTACGAAACTAAGAGGGTGTTTGTTTCCAGGGACTTATTAGTTTAGGGACTTAAAAAAGTCCCTGTAAGTCCAATCTATAAACCAAACAGGAGGAACTTATAGGCACTTAAAGTGGGCATTTGGGACTTATGAAATAAGACTCTCAAGAAGGGACTTATAGGGACTTATAGTTGTAATATGGTCTTATAGGGACTTATAAGTCTCAGGAACCAAACAAGTAGGGACTTTTTAGGGACTTGAAACTTTAAGTTGGGACTAAAAAAAGTCCTAGGACTTATGAACCAAACAGGGCCTAAGGGCATCTCCAGCCGCGCCCCCAAGAAGGCCTCCCCAGGCATTTTTTTCGCGCCGACGCCGAAAAAACGGCCCAGTCGCGCCCCCAGGAGCCCGATTTTCGCCGGCTTGGGCCGAAAACAGCGCCGGCGGACCCAGCCCGAACCCGGCGCGCTGGGGGGCGCTCGGGGGCGCCGGGCGAAGTTTTTTGGCGCGAAGAAACCGCGGGCCCGACGCGTCAGCGACCAGTTTACTTCTCGGCCCTTCATCGTCCTCATCGCCTCGTTTCCCGCGGCGAATCAATGCCAAAGCTGCCGCGCTGCCGCGCCGGTCAGCCTGCGCCATTGATGCTTCATGGGCGGCGCAGTGAAGGCCGGACGACGCGCGTCCCTCGCCCTCGCCTCGCCCGCCACGCGTACGCACGGTGCCACGCGTGTGGGCGGCGCGTCGGCCTATATATGCCGCGCCCCGGCGCACTCGGTCGCTCACACTCCCACTCCGTCGTCGCTCCTTCCCCTCCGCCGTCGCTCCTTCCTTCCTCTCCTCTCCTCCAATGGCCGAACGTTTCCCAGGCGACGGCACGGCGGCGAACGGCTTCGGCCGCCGCCATCTCCATGAAGACGAAGCTCGCCTCCTTTACGAGGCCGAGTACCCGGTCCCGCCGGACATGCGGGTGCCCGGGGCGTGGAGGATCAGCGCCGGCGGCGTGCCGGTGCCCCCGGTACCCTCCGGCGCGGTGCGGCGCGCGGAGATCGCCCGCATCCGGTCGAATCTGCCGCCTGCGGCAAGGGATGCGCCGCGGTACGCCCCCGACAGCCTGCTGTGGGAGCCCTACTTTCGCCGCCGTCACGCCCAGCAGCTCGAGGCCACCAACGGCGTCGTGCCCTCCGGCAGGCAAAACTCCGCCGGCCGGCGTCGATGGTGGGGCGTGCCAGGGCGCACGCTGGACGCCGTCCTCGAGTACATCGAGGGCGGCAACATGCCGCGCCTCGACTACCCAGCCCCCCCTTCCTTTTCACGCCGCCGGGGAAGCTCCTGGACCCCGAGGCGCATGGAGACCGGGGGGTCCTCCTCTTCGTCTGGCGGCTCGCCCTGCCTCCACCCCGTCAAGCCGGAGCCCCAGGACACGCCTGTGGCCGCGCGCACCCGCAGCTCCGGCGTCCGTATCGGCGCCCCGTCAAGCCGGAGCCCCGCCGGCCGTTTTGTCCTCGTCGAGCCCAAGCCGGAGCCCGGCCTCGTCGAGCCCAAGAAGGAGCCCGGCCTCACCGCGGAGTACGAGGAGATAGCCCGGCGCGGCTTCTCCGACGAGGACGCCATGCGATGGGCGCGGGAGGACTACCTCCGCGAGGAGACGGTCCGGCAGTGCCGGGCCCTGGAGGAAATCGCCGCCCGCAAGCGCGGGCGCGAGGACGAGCACGGCGTCGTGATCCTCGACAGCGACGACGACGACGACGGCGCCCCCGGGCCTTCCAACCCGCCGCGCCAACCGGGGGAGGGGTGTAGCAGGGACGGCGGAGGCGGGGGCGGCAGCGGCGATGACGACGACAACGACGACGACGGCGGCGGCGACTACACGCGGTTCTACTGCCTCCTCGACATGTAGACGCGTTGGGCGGGCGGCGAGGCGGGCGGCGAGGGAGACGGTGGGATTAGCCCGCCGGTTTTTTTTTTGTAAAATATGTTTATGTTTGAACGAACTCGCCGAAGTTTGCTATGTTTGCGCCGTGTTTGCGCCGTGTTTGTGCCGTCTTCAAATTTTTTGAAATACCGTGGGCGCCGCGACTGAGGGGCATCACGCCTCCAGTGCGCCGTTAGCGCCGGTGCACCCCAGGGGGCGATTTTTTGGCCCTCCTAAGGGGCCAACGGCTGAAGATGCCCTAACACATTAGAATTTGATGCCTGCATCAGTGTTCCCTAAGTAATTGGTTCCGATTACAGTACTAGCCTTACCATCCCCGATGTTCGATATAGCTTTCCACTCTCCCTTACACGTTGTCTCTTCTTGTGCCGATGTGAGTCCTAGGATCCATGAGAAGACAAGAGAGAAATTGTTGTAGACACATAAATAACCATACCATGGACACACACACACACACAGCTGATGGGTTTAGCCTTAAGGGATTACTCACAGATCGCAATCGAATAAAAAGAAAAGACACTGTAAATAGTTTAATTGAAGCTGAATGATTAACCGTCTTAAATATCGTTGATAGAGATGCGATCCTGATTACAAGTATTGATCTAATGGGAGACGAAGATGCTTTCCCATAAATTTCGCCTTAGAAAAATATGAAGATCATGGATGATACAGAAAAAAATATCTTTATCTAGGGTTTTTGTATAACTTAGAATTTTTTTATTCCTATGGAACAAACGTTTTCAAGAAATAAATACGTGTACCGTATATAGCATTTTGACCTTTCCTTCTCTGGCTTGGAATTGCATGCTATTCATAACAGTCATTGATTCCCTACTTCAGCTTTAGCCATATTATTACTCCAAAGGTCATGTTTGGCACACTCAGGTATTGAAATATATAGCAAAACATTTTCGCAATGACGTGGGGCTATTATCTAGTTATAACAATACATGGTTTAGATTTGTTCTCTAGTCTTAGCATCTCCACGAATTTGGCGCGAAAACAAAATTGTACTGCATGGACCCGCTGAGTCAGCGATTGGGCGACACCAAGAACCTTCGTCGTCATCATCGCCTCGGTTCCCGCACAACGACGCTGCTCGCCGCCGTCAAGGCCGAGCCCCAGGACACGCCGAAGTGCCGACACAGCCGTGGCCGCAGCCTCGTCATAAACGAGGGCCGCCGCCAACCTTGCCCTCCTCCCGGCGGCCATCTTCTCCTTGTCAGGGCGAAGAAGGAGCCGGCGACGCCGCCCGTCGTCGTCAAGCAGGAGCATGTCGACATGGCCGCCAACCTCGAAACTGGCCTCAAGTGGGCGCGGGACGACTACGTCCGGGAGAAGATGGAGCGCTAGCGCCACGCCCTCGAGAAGGGCCGCGTCATCATCCTCGAGGACAGCGACGAGGAGGTGCCGGCGCCGACCAACCCCGTCCGCCACGGCGACCCAAGACAGGGTTGTAGCAAGGACGACCACGACGACGACGATGACGACGACGGCGACTACACCGCCTTCTACAAGCTCCTCGGCATGCAGTAGGCTCGAGGCGGCGGCAGCATAGTTTTATTTTTCTAAGTTTTTAAGTTATGTCTTTAATTTTGTACAAATATCAATGAAAACTGCCTAAATTTCGCCCAAATTTGTGTCATTTTGTACAAAATTTAGCCGAATTTGGATTTCAAAAAAGGACATCCGGGGCCAACTTCGGGCGGCGGTTGGGAACCCAATTGCCCCCATGGTGGAAATAGCGCCGGCTAGCCCCCAGGCGGCGATATTTCAGTCCCTGGGGCGCCGAACGGCTGGAGATGCTCTTAGCTCCTACTCCCTCCGCTCCTAAATATTTGTCTTTTTAGCGATTTCAAATAAACTATCATATACGGATGTATATAGACATATTTTAAAGTGTAGATTCACTCATTTTGCTGCATATGTAGTCACTTGTTGAAATCTCTGAAAAGACAAATATTTAAAAACGGAAGGAGTAAGTCTCAAGAGTGTTCTTTTTTCAATGGTCAAGAGGTAAGTTAATTGTAAAAGTGCACCTGAATCATTGCGTGATCTGCAGAAATTATTTGTTTCCCGGAGAGTACCAATCGGCGACGGCATATGAAAGTTCCAGCGTCAAAAGGGACAAATTGTTGCAATAAACTGTTCCATTTGGCAATGCCGACCGGTAGAGTAATCAACTTGTCACATTATTAGGTGAAGCTAAGTACCCCACCACCAATCTTATATCCAAGTCGTCGCATTGCCATGAACCAAACAGCTCATTTGCAGATTGCAAGTACACGAGTTGTGACTTGTGAGTAGTAAAAGAAGGTCTCCGTCGAGACATACAATTCTTGATCACAGGAACCGGAAAAGATACAGGAAAAGAAAAATAATGTGCATGCAAGCTCTGAATCTTCTGAACGATGAACAAGACGTACGCACGAATTAATTGGTGTGCCTGGCCTGGAGGAGTGGCTTGATTTGCACCGGCAACAACGATCGGCTGTATATATACGGCGGCGCCGGGTCGATGATCTGCCCTCTCGCTCACATGATGGTGCAGGGGCCGGAGTCGTCGACGTAGCAGTAGGATTGCGGCGGGCAGTGGGGTGGCGGCGGGCAGTGGCGTGGCGGCGAGCAAGCCTTGGGGCAGTAGAGTGGCGGCGAGCAAGCCTTGAGGCAGTGCTTCTGCATGCATTCCTTTTTCTTCTTCTCCTCGGCCTCCTTCTTCTTCTTCTCCTCTTCCTCCTTCTTCTTCTTCTCCTCCGCCTCCTTCTTCTCGTCGCCCACCGTCACCACCGTCGCCGGGTGCTTCCCCTTGCGCAGCGCGTCGACGACCACCACCACGTCCACATCCCCCACCACCGTCAGCGTGCTCTTCTCCTCGTCGTATGCCATCGACTTGACCCCTGCCATGGACACACACGACCTTCAAGTAAGTTACAGAGGAGGACGAGCGAATCACGCCCATAGAGAGAATATTACAGACCTTTGACCTTGGACACAATCGTAAGGACGCAAGACTTGCACTTCTTGCAGACCATCGGCACCTTAAGCACCATCTGGTTCAGAATAACAGAAACGGTGACTGTGAGTGACCGATAAAATCTCAGAAACAAGCCAGGGAGGATGGAAATTAAGAGCCTGCAGAACCTTCATCTTCGCGGGCTCGCGGCGAGATTAAACTAGGATACTTGAAGGTTGCTGATTGGTGTACTCGGTATATGTGCCTGGATGCAAGCTCTCCCGAAAGCCTCCTCTCCAATGGGTGGCTTTATACTCCCTTGGTGGTTCGGACTCTGGGCTTGGTCAATTGCAACAATCATTGCCGCAGTGCAAAACCAACTTATGCAAATGCATTTCATATTGTTGTTTCTACAAGGAGATTTGAAATAAGTTTAAGTCAGTACAATAGTCGTAGTAGTAGGTGTGCAGCCCGTATGTATTCAGCCGACTCGCCATCGGATGTCGACATGATGAGAATTATCTAACACCTGCAAAAAGAAGAGC